GACCCAGGTAATCAATAATGACTGTAAGGGATATTCATAGTAATTATGGACCCGGGTCAGTATCAACCCGTGAGACAAGCTTAGGAACAGAAGTCGAATAATGACTTAAAACATAGAAAATGTCGATTACTTAAGGTTTCTGAGAATTGTCAAATAGAGGTCCAAAACTGATCTAATTTTCAAGATCATCAAGATCAGATCCGACAAAAATTCAACGGTCATTGATCCCTAAGGGGGTGTCATCACGTAAAACCTTATACAACGGTCATTGACCCCTACGGGCGGTGCCTCCGTCTCGTCTGATTTTATTGAGAGGTCAGCGATTAAAACCGAAATAACAATTGTTTTAATGAACACATGCTATGATCAGTTAATTTTGGACTTGACATGAGATCAGTTTTTTAGAGCTCAAGTCAGATCAGATACGATATCAGATCAGCTTGGCCCTCTATTGTCAAGGACATAATTTATAACTCAATTGCTAACACAAACCGTTATTGTTGCCCTTTTTGGCCAATATATTAGTTTCACTATTACTATTAAACCTTACTTACAAATAACTAGAAAAGTGTATTATCTTTATTAACTTCAGTTAACCTTGATAAATTAGCGCTATTTGCATTTTAAAGGTTTCCTATATAAAGCTATATTTTGTTGATAGAGATTTCATTAAAGTTTGATTTGACTTTGATTTTAATTGCGACCAATGATTGGTTGGCACATTGATAGCAACAGATTTTTTACATATGTAAGGATCCGACTAACAAGTCATTATAACATGATCAAGCAAGTATCACAGAAAGTTCCAGAATTAACAAAAATTTAATGAAATTAACTTCACTCGGTGTATGTAAACGTTCATGTAAATCTTTTGCCAGTTATCATATAAGTAACGTTACTAACGCTAGATCCAATAAAATAGTATAAGTAAATTAGAAATTGTCATAATATAAAATGTATCTCTTCTGTGTATTACTAATTGCAAGTGGGGCATTTCTGAACGTGAATGCGGAAGTAATATATCAAATTGGTAATTTCATGGCAGTTATAATTGTAAAATGTGATCAAATAGTGAATTGTCGAGCGTAATATATCGTAGATGATGCCAATTATTAATACATGATATTTATTTGGCAGGTTTTACCCCGTTTATAAACACAACACTTGTCGATCACTTCGAGATCGTCTGCAACAGCGGCGCCGACAGCGCCGTCAACATCAGCTCAATTCAGTTGTCTGCCGGACAGTGGGGTCTTGAGGCCAGTTGTAATGGCTATCAAGTGGTCACTTACTCGTCATCCAATTACATCGCTGTTCAGCTTAATCCGCCCTTGGTCTTTTCGTTGACCTTTCGCTCGTACCACGTCAGCTCTTATACCAATGGTATGATCAGTACATTATCAGTACATTTGTCAATTAATTAACAGTCAAATATTGGGCCAATTGTATTATTTCAGCGCCAACTGTACATACAGTGTAAGACAATTATCAAAAAGTACCAGTATATTATATATAATTTATAATTGCCTA